CTCGACGAGCTCGTGCTGCTCCACGCGATGCTCGCGCGGCGCGCGGAGCTCGACTGCGCCGTGCTGCTCAGCGATGCGCTCGCGCGGCACCTGCTGACCCTCGCCGAGGACGGCGCACTGCGCGCCGCCGACTACCTGCGCGTCGTCGTGACCGCGGTGTGCGCCGTGTGGTACGGCACGCGTCACGGCGCGCCCGGCACGCGCGCGCCGCCGTTCAGCACCGGGCTCGCGCCGGCCTCGACGCCGGGGCTCGACGACGCGGCGCTCGCGCGCCTGCTCAACGATGCGACGCAGACGCTGCGCACGCTGCACCTCGTCGCGCTCCTCACCACGCTCCTCGCGCTCGCGCGGCACGCGCTGCACACGAAGCGCTCCGGCTCGCTCGGGCGCCTGCTGCCCGCACTGCGCATCGGCAGCAAGTGGCTCCGCACGCACGCTGCGGCGCTCGATGCGTGCACCGCGCAGAGCGCCGCGGCCCTCGCGCAGCTCGGCGCCGCGCGCGCGGGCGCGCTCGAGGTCGACGGCCTCGCGCGCCTCGCGGTGGTCCTCGCGGGGGTCCCGGCGCGCGTGCATGCGCTCTGGGCCGCGTACGCGGACGTCGCGAACCTCTTGCCGGTGGCCGAGCGCGGGGCGCCCGCGCACCACCTGCCCGAGGACGCCGACCTCGGCGCGCTCGCGCCGCTGCAGCACGCGATGCCGCACACGGTGCCGGGCACCTCGGACGACCACGCGCGCAAGATCGACCTCCTGGCAGACGCCAACGCGCTCGCGGCGAGCGGACGCCTGCAGCGCGACACACACGGACGCTTCTCCGCTGTGGCCACCGACGAGCACGACGACCCCGTCGCCCTCGCGATGCACGCTATGGACTCGCAGCGCGACACGGCGGACACGGCCGCGGGCACGGGCGCCGACGCCCTCCGCGGCGCACTCACGCCGGCGCCCGCGCCGGCCGCAAGTGCGCCGCCGGCGCCGGCGGCGCCGTGGGCGAGCGCGTGGCCGTGGGCGCCGCCGACGTGGGGCGCGCCGCCGCCGGCGCCGCCGGCGCCGCCTGCGCCACCGGCGATGCTCCTCTTTGGCGGCGGACTCCCGGGCCACGGCGCGCCGCCGGCGCCGCCCGCAGCACACGCCTCCATCTGGAGCGGTGCGCCGCCCGCCGCCGGCGGACACCTCCGCTGATTACCGGCGCATGACCACGCTATCGTGAGTTGGGTGCATACGTACTCGGCGTGCGCGAGCTTCTGGACGAGCGCGAGGCGCTCGCGCATCGCACTCGCCGCCGCGGCCGCGCCCACGACGGCGAACGGCGCGGCGCCCGTCGTCTCCACCTCGACCGCCTGGCGCGACCAGTCGAGGCGCGCGCGCACGTCGCCCGCGGCGATCAGCTCGACGATGCGCGTGGCGATGCACGGCACGTCGCTCGCGAACGCGGCGGCGACCGCGCTGAGCGACGTGCGCCGGAACGCGCACAGGTAAAACGCCAGCAGGCGCGCCTCGATCGCCCTGAGCACCGTCATGGCCTCCTCCCCGATCACCGGGTCGAGGCGCAGCCGCGGCTCGTGCTGCGCGAGCAGCGCGCGGCACCGCGCAAAATCCGACATGAGGTACGCCTGCAGCGCGTCGCGCGGCGCCGGATCGCTCTCGGCGCTCGCGCGGAACTCGGTATTGGACACGAGCGCCAAGGCGCGCTTGCGCTGCGTATTCACCGGCGCGCTCAGCACCGAGAGCACCGCGTACCACGCGATCTGCGTCACGCTCACGACGTCGGCGTACGCCGCGGCGTGCGTCGCATCGCACACAATCTCGGGCAGCGGCACGCGCTTGTTGCACCGCGCCCACTGCGCGAGCGTGCGGTATGCACGCACGCGCGCACGCAGCTGCGCGTGCGACGTGTGCGGCCCGAGCGTGTCGCGCGCAGACTGGAACGCGCTGCCCGCAGCGCCGTCCGGCGCGCCGCCGCGCCCGCCGCCGCCCGCGGCGAACAGCGCGCGGATCGCCGCGCTGCCGGACGCGTTGCCCTGCGCGAGCGTCGTGCGCCACGCGTCGGTCTGCGCGGGGAGCACGACGTCCGCGTCCGCGAGCGTCGCGAGCACCGACTCGGCCTTGTCGGCGTACGCGAGGACCGTCGCGTACTGCTGTGCGTCCCAAGCCACCTGCATCGCACGCACGTACATCTCGAGCGCATGCTCGTTCGTCTTGCAGTACTCGCGCGTCTTCTCGTAGTGCAGCAGCGCCTCGTCCATGTCGCCCACGTACCGGTAGTGGTTGCCGAGGTCCTGGTGCGCCATGCGGATGCTCTCGTGTATCACATTATTCTGGTACATGTGCAGCTCGCCGAGCAGCTTCTCGCGCTCCTCCTTCATCTGTGCAAACGTCGCATCGACCCACGCCTCGTCGATCGCGTCCTCGGTGAGCGCCATCGTCGCACGGTACGCGTCTACGGCGCCGGTCTCCTCGCGGAGCACCGCGGCCGCGCGCCGCGCCGCGACGTGCCGCAGATCTGTATCCGTGTGGGCAATGTACAGCAGGCGGTTCACAAGCGGCCAGCCTGCGTCAGCGCACCCGACGTACCGCGCAGCGCGGTGCCCTCGAGGCCCGCCGCCTCTTCCCAGGTCATCGTCGGCCGAAGTGGAGGCGCCTCGGGGCCCCGCCGCCATGACGTCCGTCGCCGCGCGCCTCGCGGACGCCGCGCAGATCGCCGCGGTCGGCGAGCGGATCGATGCGTACGATCGAATCCTCGATAGCGTGATGCAGCTCGACGGCGCCACGCTCACCGCCGCGCTCGACGAGTACGTACACGGCGCCGTACTCGAGCGTGCCAACCTCGCGGGCGCCGGGCTGATCGCGGGGCGCCGCTGCCTCGCGCTCCTCGCCGAGCGCCTGTGCGCGGCGCACGACGCGCCAGGCACGACACTCGCGGACCACGACACGTATACCGGCGTGCTCCGCCGCACACTCGACGCGACGCACGAGCACGCCGCGGCGCTCGAGGACGAGCTCGCCGAGCTCCGTGTGCTCCTTGCCGACGCGCTCGAGGCACAACAGCGCTGGGAGGACGCCGCACATGTCCTCCGCGCCATCCCGTCCGACGCCAACCGGCGCAGCAAGCCGGACACGTACTGGCTGCGCCTCAACGTGCGCCTCCTCCGCCTGTGCCTGCACGCAGGCGCGCTCGCAGACGCGGACCTGTACATGAAGAAGGCAAGCTCGCTCGTGCATGCGGCGCGCGACGCGCCCGACACCGATCCACTCCTCCTCGACTTCCGCCGCGCACAGGCCGAGCTGTACGACCGCCAGCTCCGCTGCTACGACGCGGCGCTCCGCTTCTACGAGCTGAGCTCGGCGCACACGCTCCCGCCCCCAGCGCAGTCCGACATGCTCGCGCGCGCGGTCGCCTCGGCGCTCGTCGCGCCCGTCAGCGCGCCGCGCATGCGCCTCCTGCGCCAGCTCCAGCGCGACGCACGCACGCACGCCCTGCCGCTCGGCGCGCCGCTTGCGCTCCTCGCCGACGCACGCATCGTGCGCGCCGACACGGCCGCGGCCATCGCCGCGCACCTCCCGCCGCATCTGCGCGCCGGCACGGAGGGCGCGCCGAGCGCCCTCGAGGACGCCCTGGCCGAGCACAACGTGTACGCCGCGTCGCGTGTCTACACGACCATCACGCTCGATAGCCTCGCGCAGCTTGTGCAGCGGCCTGAGGATGCATGCGAGGCGCTCGTCGCCCGCATGATCGTGCAAAAGCGTCTGCCGCCTGCGTGCTCCATCCACCAGGTGGCTCGCGCCGTGTTCTTTGCGCCAGACGACGCGCCGCTCAGCGCCGACGACGGCGGCGATGCGCCAGACGCGCCTGCAGACGCGCCCGAGGGACCGGTGTGCCCCGACGCCCACGACGCCGAGCGGCAGTGCCGCGACCGGCGCCTCGCGGCGGCGCTCGCCTACCTCTCTGACGCACACGCACGGTTGCAGGTCACCAAGTAGTGGGTGGGTATAGCTACGAGTCGTCGTCCGAGTCGTTCGGCACGAGCCCGTCCTGCGGCTCCTCCTCGAGTGTCTCGCGCGCCTGCTTCTCGCGCGCCGCGCGGTCGTACAGGCTCCAGTCCACCTCCTTCACCGAGTCGTCCGCGTCCTTCTCCTCCTCGACGCCGCCCTGCTTCGAGAAGAGCTCGCGGCCAGACGGCTTCATTTTGAAGCGCTTGTACTCTTCGCGCTCCTTGTTCGACATCGCCGCCATCTTCTCCGCCTCCGCCCGGTCGCGCTGCGCCTGCTGCTTCTTGAGGAAGTCGACGCGCCACGCCAGGAAGCGCTCCGCCGTCACCGCCGTGCCGCGGAACTTTTCCTCCTCGGCCGCAATCTCGGCATCACGCTGCCGGCTCGCACGCTCCTCGGCCTCCTTCGCCCTGTTTTGGATGTACGCCGTGAGCGCCTCGCGCAGGTGCGACGCGAGCGTAAACACCATCGGCATCCCAAGCGACTCTTCCGCCTGCTGTGAGCCTCCGTGCCACCTACCACCTGGTCCAGCTCGTTGCGCAGCTTGCGCGCACCGTCACGCGCGTCCGTCTCGAACGGCTCCGATTCTTCGCCCTCCTCCGGCACGTCCTCCTCGGCGGGCGCCGCGCCCAGAATCTCACCCGCGTCCTCCACGACACGGATGCACATCTCGGGCACCGCATCGGGGTAGTCGGGCGTGTACTTTACGTCGAGACGCAGCACGGGCACTGCGTTAGCGCCAGGCTCACACGTACGGTTCTTTCCTTCTTCATAGTCCTCGGGTTCCACGCGGATGCGCAGGTGTTCAGGAGACACCTCTGTTGTGTTAGCCTCAGTGGAAACACCTACTTTCTAGCTCCTCCAGGTAGATGCTCTCCAGCACCTCGAGCTCTTCGGCCAGGACCTGCGCGTGCTCTTCGGTAGACACCATGGCAGATGGTGGAGGAAACGCGACCGATCGTCTGTCGTGTCCCGATCAAATACGCACGCCCGATGACCTCCGGCGATATTTGGGTCTACTGGCGCAATGGTAGCGTATCAGCCTTCTACGGATTGCCAAGACGAAGCTGAGCTGAGGGTTGCGGGTTCGAGCCCCGCGTGGACCTATTTTTTTCTTTTTACCCATCTTATGGAACTGCACGTAACCGGATCTTGATGCGTCGTGCGACTCCCATTCGCTTCTCTTTTTGTAATTCCCCAGGGTTCGGGTGCCATCGGCCGGTTAACGGCCATAAGCCGGTCAGATAAAAATTTGGCAAATTAAGTTTAGTCGAATTATGTCGAACGCAGAATGTGAGCGGCCGGACGGCCGCAGTGAAGATCTCACGTGAACCGTCAAATCTCAGTGCAGGTCCTCCAATAGGCCAAACCTAGGTCCCTCTGCTCGTAATTCCCCCACTAGAATCCTTCCGCTTCTTTTGGCTAGTATTGAAGATCGCTGTTGACCCGAATTTTTTCTCCGAGGGAACAGTGGCGACTTGTTTGCCTACGTTGGAGGACAGACCAAAGGCCTAGCGTTCCCAAGAGGTCTTGGAGGCTGTGCTTCCCTGCTATATGTATTGTCCATCTTGAAAGCGCCCTGTCTCTCTAGAACTGCTTTGGTGCATCGCGTGCATCCTCGCTTCTAGGGTTCTCGCTCGTCACGAATCGCACTTCGCCGTTGCATGCGCACCGCAGGTGAAAAAAATCCAGAGTCCGATGTTCACAATGGCGATGTAGTACAATACACGCGTGCTGCGTCACCCACGGTTCCTCTAGGTACGTCCCACCCATGTCGTGAGTGCTCACCGCGACAGATTCGCGCCAGAAGGTCTCCACCCAGAATGCGTTTGACGAGAATGCCAATCTTTTCCCGGATCCGCACGGAGACTCCGCACCCGCGGAGCACCATGCCGGACCGCCACTAGACACAAGCTCGGGTCCGAACGATCCGAGTTCTGCTCATCCACTTCCATCTCCCTCCCACCCTACCTCACCCGGCTCCATGGTCGGTGCGGTGCCTTTTCCAGGCATCCCCGACCCCTATTTTGATCCTGCGACAGGGCTTTATACACACCAGGCAAGCACGACGGATCCTTCCCAATTTCCCCGCTACTACTACTACGGCTACGTTCCACAAGATCCTACGATGGGATATCCGCGGCCCTACCCCGCGGACCCATCACTGTATTCACGACGCGACGACAATGAGGATCCAGTCGGAGAGCAAGATACATCCATACCATCACAGCATCCCATGGCCATGCCCATGCCATATTCAATACCTCTATACCAGCGCCCTATCTATTATCCCAGTGCATCCATGATGGGTGCTATCCCTTATCCCCCTCCCGTGCGCCCCGCGGTGCCCGAGGGCGTCCCGCCTGAGTCTGGCTACACACCCACCCCGCCCGGACCTGTGGCACCGACAGGGCCTCAGTTCGCGGGCATGTACGACTCGCATCCATCTGCCAAGCAAGTATACCTCAATCCTTCCGGGGGCTATCCTGCCAACATGCCGGCGCCGGCTTACGCTCCTTATATATACGCCGAGGGGGGCGCTCCTTACTATGGCTTTCCTTCTAACGCGATGTTGCATCCGTCGATGATGGGCCAGTACTCCGTGATGCCCAGCTATGCACCCGCACCGGTGGGGCAGGCGCCTGTCCCGAGCGAGACGCCGCGCCGCCATCGCTCCTCCGGCGGAAGCTCGTCGCGCAGTCGCCGCAGCGCGGGTCGCCAGAACCATGGCTCGGCGCAGACGCAGCAGAGTCCCGCGGTTGCCGAACCCGCGGGTACATCCAAGGCGCCGACCCCAAGCGCCGCCGAGCGGCGCTCGAGCGATGGGTCGACTGGCACGGCGAAGCCCCCGCAGGACAGGGCCGAGGCGCCGCAGCCGACGCCCTCAGCGCCGCACAGCGAGCCCGCGAGCGACGCCGGTGCCGACCCGACCTCGGCTGCAGCCGCTTCAGGTGCCGTGTCGGAAGACCAGCGCCAGGGCAAGCGCTCCAACTTTGTGATGTGGTGCGGCAATGTGCCCTCGGACGCAACACTCGACGAGCTGTGGAAGTTCTTTGGCAACATCCCGAACAGCTTTGTGCCTCCCGCCGACGAGGCCCAGGGCACGAGCGACGCGGCGCCCTCGCCCGGTGCGGACGACACGCTGCGCCCGGACGTGCCGGGTGACGAGGAGAGCCACGGGGCAGGGATTTTGTCCATCTTCATCATGTCGCGCTCGAGCTGCGCCTTCGTGAACTACGTGTCGAATGCGCACTTGGAGCGCGCATGCGCCTACTTCCACGGCAAGCCACTCCGGCTTAAGCCGGCGTGCCCCCGTCTTGTGTGTCGTCCGCGTCGCCTCGAGGATGCTGAGTACGCCGGGGTTGCGGCGCAGCGCGGCAAGGGTGTGCACACGAATTGGTACCGGCAGCAGCGCCAGCAGGAGGCCGAGGAGACGACGGAAAGCCGTCTCGCCGGCGACGGCCGCGGCGATAGTGCCAACGAGGGCACGAGCGACTCGCGGTCGTTTACCTCGACCAACTCCTCGCTGCTGCGCCAGCCGATGTTTGCGCACCGGTTCTTCATCCTCAAGTCGCGCAGTGCCGAGGCCCTCACCACCGCGCTGCGCACCAACGTGTGGAGCACGCAGGCGCACAACGAGGCGGTGCTGGACCAGGCGTTCCGCAACTCGAGCGTGGTGACGCTGCTCTTCAGCGAGAACTTTAGCGGCCAATTCTTTGGGTACGCAACCATGTCAAGCCGCATCGGTGGCGCGCTGCCCGGCGCGAGCACGCCGCCGCCCCACCTCCCCGCCTCCGACGAGGCTCCGCAGCAGATCCTAGACGAGCCGCTCTCGAAGTTTGCGGACAGCGCTGCAATCGAGACGGCGACGCACGGATCCGACACGTTGGACGTGCACAAGGATGCCCCACCACTCCTTTCCCTTTCGCCAAAGGCGGAGAGCGGAGCGTTGGGGGACCCTGCCAATGGTACCAGTGGTCCCGATACCAGAGAGGAAAGCCGAGACGTGGCGTCGTGCTCCTCGACCTCGTCTGCGTCTGCAACCCCCTCGATGATCGCCGATCGCGAAGCGAACGATGAATGGGCCACGAACGCGAAACTACACAACCGTCGGCTGGACGTACTCGACGCCGCGGTGGTCCCAGACGAATCTGCCGAGCGTGCCGAAACCACTGTCCCTGAAACCCACCCCCCTACTACGCGACCGACATTGGAGCCGGGCGAGGCTCCGGCGTCTGGGAAGGAGACGCCCACGTCGGAATCCATTGGCACGGAAAAAATACACGATTCCAAGACGCCGCTTGGTCTTCCGTTCTACATCAGCTGGAAGAACACCAAGCCGCTTCCGTTTCACGAGATACAGTCTCTACGGAATCCGTGGCGTGACAACCGTCTTGTAAAGGTTTCGCGCGACGGGACCGAACTCGAGCCCAACGTCGGCAAGCAGCTCCTGGCCATCTGGGACGCGTACGCCAAAAATTCGTAATAGAACGCGGTGCCGATGCGTATACGTAATTTGTAATCGATAGCGTTCGTCGTGCAGCGCGCCGTGCGCGCCCGGGGCGAGCCCGGACGTTACGGGCCTCCACCCGAAGCCACGTGATGAACCGAATGCCGCCGAAGGCGAAAGAAGGCGTGGCTGCCCCTCGCGAGTTCGGAAGAAACGCGCCACGCGCGGATACAAAAGTGCTGCGGCGTGCAGGTTTGCCACCTTCCCAGAGTTATCCGTCTCAGAATGTTTGGTGCTCTTTCCCGTGGAATCCACGCGGCGCCGTCGTCCGGCCGGCTGCTGACGCAGTCGCTGCGTAGCGGCGCCGTGGCCGGCCTCCCGAAGGCCGGCGTCCGCTTCAACTCGGGCGGCAAGGTGTCGGGCCCGGTCATCGGTATCGACCTGGGTACGACCAACTCGTGTGTTGCCACCATGGAGGGCCAGCAGGCCCGCGTCCTCGAGAACTCCGAGGGTGGCCGCACGACGCCCTCGGTGGTGGCGTTCAGCAAGGACAACGAGCGTCTCGTCGGTCTGCCCGCCAAGCGCCAGGCGGTGGTGAACCCCGAGAACACGCTGTTCGCGACGAAGCGTCTCGTTGGCCGCAAGTTCAGCGACCCCGAGGTGCAGAAGGACATTAACAACGTGCCCTACAAGATCGTCTCCCACTCGAACGGCGACGCGTGGGTCGAGGCGCGCGGCCAGTCGTACTCGCCCTCGCAGATCGGTGCGTTCGTCGTGGGCAAGCTCAAGGAGACCGCGTCGGGCTACCTGGGCAAGCCTGTGAAGCACGCCGTGATTACCGTCCCGGCGTACTTCAACGACTCGCAGCGCCAGGCGACCAAGGACTGCGGTACGATCGCCGGTATGGAGGTGCTCCGTGTGATCAACGAGCCGACGGCCGCGGCGCTTGCCTACGGTCTCGACCGCCAGGACAACGCGACGATCGCCGTGTTCGACCTGGGTGGTGGTACGTTTGATGTGTCGATCCTCGAGATGTCCAAGGGTGTGTTCGAGGTGAAGTCCACCAACGGTGACACGCACCTGGGTGGTGAGGACTTTGACATTGTCGTCGTCGAGCAGCTCGTGCGCGACTTTGAGAAGGAGACCGGCATCGACCTCAGCAAGGACCGCATGGCCATCCAGCGTATCCGTGAGGCGGCCGAGAAGGCCAAGATTGAGCTGTCGAGCACGCAGTCGACCGACGTCAGCCTGCCCTACATCACCGCCGACGCCTCGGGCCCGAAGCACATCAACGTCAAGATCACGCGCGCCCAGCTCGACGGCTGGACGAGCAAGCTGACGCAGCGCACTGTCGAGCCGTGCCGCAAGGCGCTCGCCGACGCGGGCATCAAGGCCAGCGACGTGAACGAGGTGATCATGGTCGGTGGTATGACCCGTATGCCCAAGGTCATTGAGACCGTGAAGGACATCTTCAAGCGCGAGCCGTGCAAGGGTGTGAACCCCGACGAGGCTGTCGCGATTGGTGCCGCGATCCAGGGTGGTGTGCTTGCTGGCCACGTCACCGACGTGCTGCTCCTGGATGTTACCCCGCTCTCGCTCGGTATCCAGACGCTCGGCGGTGTGTTCACCCGTCTGATCAACCGCAACACCACCATC